ATGTTACAAAAACTATTATCAACATAAACTTATTACAAAAGCTTACTGAACTTATTATTAACATAAACAACTAATTATTCTAGAACTTATTCACAAAACTTATTATCAACATAAACACACACACACACACACAAAAAATTATTACAAAAACTTAAAAATGCATATTTAAGATTTTTAATCAAGCACAATGAAAAAAAAGACAAAAAATATTAGTTCTTTGTGACAATATCAAAAACTTTTTAAACATAAACAACTAACTATAATTGTTGTAAAGATTAGCTTGAGAAATCATTGTTTATGTATCTTTTCTTTCATCCTCATTAAATTACTTACTAAATCAAATTTTATAAAAAGAGTTGACTTTCTTCTTTCTAAAATATGCATGATTCATGTTAAATGGATCTAAAAGGAATTCAAACCCACAAAAATCATATTCTCATTGTCTTTCCATTACTATGTATGTAATCACTATGGGTTACTATGTATGTTCTTTGTCTTTCCATTACTATATATGTAAATCACTATAGGTTATTATCTTGTAAATTTCTTATTGTTTTATTTGTTTAAAACTTCTTATTAGGTATGCATATGGATAAATTTCTCAAAAGAAAATCAACAATAGACCAATCATCCTATTAGTCCAAGAAAATAAAGCTAATGAAAAGAATGATCCATTAAAAGAAAGTCATGTAACTAGAAACCATCTTGAAGATCTTCCATCTGATCCAACTCTACGGCCTAAAATCAATCATATCATCCTAAGTATAGGGATACAATTCAAAGATTTTACTTGCAAAAGGTTGTTGCCAGCCTCGAAATCATGCATTTCCATTGGCAAAATTTGGAAAAGGAATCTCGATTTAATCTACTTGGTTTGATGTGTATGATGATTGGCTTGAGTATAGTGTGACCAAAGATGCTGCATTCTGTTTGTATTGTTATCTTTTAGACCTGCCATTATAAGCCAAGCTGGTGTGATGCCTCGTTATGAGGGATTTGTAATTGGAAGAAACCAGAACGCTTTCAAATTCATGTTGGCCTGCCAAATAATTTGAGCAATTGTTTTTAAATAAAAATATTTTGTGAAACTCAAATCCTGTGGCATACAAAAATGTTTAATCATTTAATAATACTTTTTAGAATATCATACCTGAAATGGACGCTAGTTATTGTTTTGCTCCAACTCATGGGACATTTTCAATTGATAAAATGAAGCATGAGCAATTGAAAGCCGCAAATAAACTTCCATCAATCTTTCAATTTTCCAAAATCACACATGCTTCTTTTCTTTTTATTAGAAACACAAAAATAAATATTAATTTGTTGTCTCACAAAACTTAATTAATTAATAAAGAGAAATTGTCAGTGTTCCCACTGAAACAATTTAGAGAGTAATATGAAACCAAACAAATAAACAATCACAAATATCAAACTAGTAAAGAGAAAGAAAACATGTGTATTTACCCTAGTTCATCCAATAAATAGGTTACATCTATCAAAGTAAATATTATTAAAATACATCTTCACTTTTCTTGTTATAATGAATGTATTTGCCTATGATTTGCTATCACTCATACAAGGAGAATATAAGTTTATATACCAATTTAAAAAGAAAAACCTAATATTACTAGAATCTCTTTTCCTAAGCCCAAACCAAATTAGGAATTTAATTACTTAGAGAAATCATACAACAACTCTTCATGGAATAAGCCTAAATCGTCTACAGGACTCCCAAATGTATCTGTCTCGCCCCTTATTGTTGAAGTAGTCGACAACTCTAACATTCACCCCTGTACTGTTAGTGAATAAAATTAATTAATTCAATCTCTAGTAATTGAAAGAGGAAACCTTGACAAAATGATAGGTTCTAATTATATATCTAGGTTGTTGGTTTCATCACTTNGAAAGGAAACATAGAGCCATTACTGAGTTTGGACTCTCTCTTCTTGCACATGCAGCTATGCCACTTCATTTCTGGTGGCAGTCCTTTAGTACTGCCTTGTACCTGTTGAATAGATTACCCTCGGCTTCCATTGGTTACTCAATTCCATTTACATTGTTATTTAGTCAAGAACCAAACTATAATGATCTCAAGGTGTTTGGCTGCTATTGTTACCCTTTCATCAAACCATATCAGAAGCAAAAATTTGGTTATCATACCAAGAAATGTGTCTTTCTCGGTTATAGCCTAGTTCACAAAGGCTATAAGTGCATGTCCTCATCTGGAAAATTGTATATTGTCAAGCAAGCCAAGTTCAATGAGTATGATTTCCCATTCAAAAATGATTTCAAGAATGTTTCATGTGAAGACAGTGAGGTTGCTGGACTGACTAATGCTCCCATCTTTCAAAGTTCCTGGCAGCTTCCAAACTATCATATCTATTCTTCAGATCCAATAACTACAAGTTTCCCTGAGTTTTGTGCAGGTCAAACTCCGGATTATCAACCACTAGTAAGATCCTCTCTACATCATCATACAGATCCATCTGTATCAACACCTGTAGCTCAGCAAAATACTTCATCTGGAGTGCATTTTCCAGCTTAGCAAAATGTTTCAGCAGCCATATCCCTTCCGGATCCTCAATCACCAGTAAGGTCCTCTCTACTCAGTCATACAAATCCACCCGCAGCCTAACAAAATGCTTCAACTAGAGTACATTTTCCAGAACAGCAAAACGTTCTAGGTCCCAGGTTACAACAATATCAGTCTGCTGATCAACCACTTGATAGATGCACAACACTTACAGAGTACAGATCTTCTTCTAAGCATCCAGGAATTCAGTTGGAAGTTGACTTGTGCTTTCCTAAGTTACAAACCAAGAATACTCAGAACACTCACCCGATGGTAACCAGGTCCAAAAGTAGTCTGAATTCATTCAATCCTTCTGCCTATTTATCTAGCCAGACAATTCTAGCTGAGCCTAAATCTGCAACTGAAGCCTTGAATACACCAGAATGGAAAGATGCAATGTTGACAGAATATAATGCACTTATGAACAATCATACTTGGGAGTTGGTGCCTTGTATGTCTGGAATGAATATATTAAACAGCAAATGGGTTTTTAAAACCAAACTAAACTCTGATGGATCTTTGCAAAGGTATAAAGCAAGGCTTGTTGCAAAGGGATTTCAGCAAACACCAGGCTTGGACTATTTTGAGACTTTTTCACCTGTTATCAAAGCTGCCACCATAAGAGTCATGTTATCTTTGGCAGTTCATCATCAATGGGATATTCAGTAAATTGATATCAACAACGCTTTTCTTAACGGTGAGCTAACTGAGACTGTTTACATGTATCAACCCGAAGGTTTTGCTGATTCCCATTTGCCAAAGTACGTTTGTAAGCTACATAAAGCCTTGTATGGCTTAAAACAAGCTCCTAGAGCTTGGTTTGACAAGTTGAAAGGTGTATTACTGTCTTGGGGTTTTGAGAATTCTGCTGCTGATGTTAGTCTGTTCTACTTTAAAAGAGAAGCTCAAGTCATCTATTTGCTGGTGTATGTAGATGATATCCTCCTCACTGGGAATGATAATCATCTTATTAAGCAAATTGTGACAGATTTGAACAAACTATTTGCTTTCAAAACCTTGGGGTCTCTTAACTACTTTCTTGGGTTTTAAGTGACTAGAAATGAGTCCTCATTGCTCTTAACGCAAACCAGGTATGCTCATGAGCTGCTAAATAAAGCTGGCATGGCAGATTCAAAACCTTGTCAGACTCCTATGGCTCTCGGCACAAAGCTCAGTAAAGCGGATGGTGAATTATTTGATCAACCTACTCTCTATAGAAAGGTTGTAGGGAGCCTACAGTACTTAATCTTGTCCATACCAGATATAGCATTTGCTGTAAATAAACTTAGTCAGTTTTTGTAGACACCTATGATTGCTCACTGGTCAGCCTGTAAGAGAGTACTTCGGTACATTCAAGGGACCATTCATCATGGCTTGTTATTCACCAGAGATAAAAGATTTATTCTTGAAGGTTATGCTGATACAGATTGGGCCAGTGACACTAACGATAGGAAATCAACCAGCGGATATGGAATTTTTCTGGGAGGAAATTTGATTCAGTAGAGTTCAAGAAAACAAAAGGTAGTCTCCCTTTCATCTACTGAAGCAGAGTATAGGTCTCTGTGTCAAGCTGCCACTAAAATGGTTTGGATTCAGAATTTGTTTATAGAACTGGGAATTGAAAACACACTCACGCCTGTACTGTGGTGTGACAACATGAGTGCAGGGGCTTTGTCATCAAACCCTGTCTTCCACACAAGAACGAAGCACATTGAAATAGATGTGCATTATGTTCGAGAGTTGGTTGCTGATAAACGAATTAGTGTGCAGTATGTAGGCACTGAATACCAGCTGGCAGATATACTAACAATACCCTTGTCTGGGCATAGATTTCAGTGGTTAAGGGAAAAGTTAAAAGTTGCAGAGTCGTTATTAAAAGTGGTTGAATTAGTGGGAGAAAAAGACTGATGAAGAAAGTAGTTAGAGAAAGTTGTTGATTACTGAAGAAAGCAGTTAGGGAAAGTTGTTGTTTGCTGAAGAAAACAGTTAGAGAAAGTTGGTGTTTGCTGAAAGATTTGAGAAAATGTGAACCAATGGGAAAGAAAGACAAAGAAGTCGGTCTAAGTTGTTGGTTTTGATTTGAGTTATGAAAAACTGCAGATGAGTTGTGAAGAAAGTGCAGAATGTTACGATGAAGAGGAAATATGAAGATAAGAATGGTATAGGAGAAGTAGAGAATGTTTAGTTTATGGGGGAATGATAGAATGAAGGACAAAAGTGGAATTTAGCTAAATAAGAAAACGAATTGTAAAACGATGTCGTTTCCTTTATCATGCAATACTTGCTTATAAGCTCATCACATGTACTCTGTTTCAATTAGTTAGAAAAAGAATCATTTTCAACTTTTCAGTTTTTGTTCTCTGTTTTGCTTTCTCTCCATTTTCGTTTTCTTAAATTCATAGAAGAAGATTTCTCTTCATCCTTTCACATGTTGGTGACACAACTATAGTATCACTTAAGATGACTCTTGAGTCATTATTTTATAAGCATGGATTGAGTTTGTCAAGATTACGTGGACAAGGTTATGACGAGGCAAATAATATACAAGGAGAATTTAATGGTCTAAAAAGTTTGATTTTGAGGGAGAATGAATATGCTTATTATGTTCACTGTTTTGCTCACCAACTTCAGTTGACACTAGTAGCTGTTGCAAAAAAATCACATTTCTGTTGCTTCTTTTTTCAACTTGGTTACTAATTTGATAAATGTTGTTGGAGGTTCATGCAAGTGTCGAGACATGCTTCGAGAGAGCCAAGTTAATAAACTTGTTGACGCACTAGAAATTGGTGAAGTTAGCAAGGGACGAGGTTTGAATCAAGAGACAAGTCTAAAACGAGCTGGTGATACACGTTGGGGATCGTATTATTATACATTGATCAACTTAATCCTTTTGTTATCCTCTGTGGGTGATGTGCTTAAGGTTATTGAAGAAGATGGTTTAAATCCTGAACAAAGGGGTGAAGCATGTAATCTATTAAATTTAATCTATTCCTTTGATTTTGCATTTGACTTACATATGATGAAAAGTATATTGGCAATTACTAATGAGTTGTCACAAGCATTGCAGAGAAAAGATCAAGACATTATAAATGCTATAGGCTAGTCAAAGTTTCCAAACAACGGTTACAATTGTTGAGAGATGAAGGATGGGAATCTTTCTTGAGTGAAGTTTCTTCATTTTGCCTAAAGCATGATATTGCCATTTTGAATATGGATGATATGTTTGCAATTCGAGGGTGGCCACGATGGAGAGTTGAGCACATGACAAATTTGCATCACTATCGAGTTGAATTGTTTTATACTGTGATAGATATGCAACTTCAAGAACTTAACACTCATTTCACTGAGGTTAGTACTGAGCTGCTACTTTGTATGACATGTTTAGATCCAAGTAATTATTTCTCTACTTTTGACAAGCATAAGTTGATCCGTTTTGCCCAGTTTTATCCATCTGATTTTTTTGCATTTGAGTTTATGATACTTGAGAATTTGGCTGACACTTATGTTATTAACATGCGTTTTTGTGATGAATTTGCTAAGTTACAAGGAATTGGTGATTTGGCTAAGAATTTAGTTTGGTTTAAAAAAGACATTTTGTATCTATTGATGTATAAGCTTATGAAACTTGCATTAGTTTTACCAGTTGCGACTGCGACCGTTGAAAGAGCTTTTTCTGCAATGAATCTTGTGAAAAGTCGGTTACACAATTGAATGGGAGATCAATGGATAAATGATTGTTTGGTCACCTATATTGAGAAAGATGTATTTGATATAATTGACAATGAGATGATTATCCAACGTTTTCAGAATATGAAAACTCGTCGAGGACAATTGTAGAAAAATTGTGTTTTTCGAAGATATATATTTGTATTTTGTAACTTTTCGTTGAAGCTCATCCTAATGAAAAAAAAGTATGCTTATGATTGGTTTAATTTTTTTTTTTTTTTTGTTTATTTTTTGCCCCCATTGAGTGAAATTCCTGGATCCGCCACTAGGTAAGCTGGCCGCCATTTATAGACTTTTTGTATATTCTTTTTCTCTTTTCTAATGAAAGCTTAATTACCAGAAAAATTAAAAAAAATTATGAATATTGATTATTTGTTGGCCTCTATCCAATTATTATAGATGCACCCACCAATAGAAAAAGAAGTAAATGGTTTACATTGCATGATCGGTATTTAGTCTATGAATAGATTGATGCGGATTAAAATTCTTTCTCTATACACATGTTTCTCACTTCTATTTCTACTCGCATCTCTATATATATTAAGCAAAACGAAATCATAGCGAAAGCTTAAATCCCACCTAGCACTAGCAGCCATCACAGTTTCGCAACTCCTAATTCTTTTATATTGTTTTCATGAAAGTCTGAGATGATTTTGTTGCAGGAAAGTGTTTTGAAATCGCATGACAAAAGTCCATGGGCTCTAAAATATATAAATGGTTCTTTATTGTTCATTAGCCTGCAGTTTACTGAGCTCGTTTGAGCATTACAAAGCCAGGAGTTTATAGTTGTCAGATGGATATGAGCAACTTTAGGGCCGGGTCGCATGTTGCACAGCAAAGCCGGCGCGATAAGTTGAAGATTCAACAATGTTCAACTTCAGGTCAGCACCTAGAGGACTTTGCTCAAAACATGGAACAGTCATCAGTTAACCCAGATCTCATTCAAGTTCGTAATGTGAGAAGTGCGAATTTGCTGTATGACCCCACTCTTTTTTCCCCTGGGATGATAGGTTTCGCTACAAGTCCAATGTTTTGTCAGGTCAAAGAGATGCAATGCTTCAGCAAGAGTTAGGTGCAGCTCAACCCAACAATAGGCCTATAATGGTAGCTGGGGATGATTTATTCCACAGTTTGCCTCTCACAATCTCATCCCAATTAAATGCTTCATCGAGAGCCACTAGTGATGGTGGTGATTTTCAAGGTTGTAGAAGTAGCAATTGGAAAAGTCTTGTTTCAAAGACAAACTCTGATTGGATGATGAATTATGCAAGTGGATCAGGGTAGGGAAATCAATCAAAATGAAATGCTTGTTGGGGAAGTCTTATCAAATAATGTGAAAGTGAGTGATGTTCCTGCATCTAGAAAATATTTGAAGCCTAATAGAATCCTGCCTACAAAATTAATTAATATCCATGGTAGCAAGTCACCTGACGTCATATTGAAATCTATTATGCTAAATGATGAATGAAGGATTTGCTACCATTTACAAATACTTGCTTTAAAAGAAATTTAACAGCATTCTTGCATTGTATGCTGATGTATAAGGGAGAGAAACAGTAATGAGTCTAATGACATAATTATTATGATGTATAAGGGAGAGAAACAGTAATGACTATAAGTAATAAAATATTATTTCAAACAAAATTTTAGGATAAGACCAAAGTTTTTATTGATATAATAGATGTAGCTACATATAAGTATGATTTCCCTCAACGGATTTAATATGTATGGTTTGGTTTCCGATGATTATTATGAACCTTGGATATATATTCTATCAAATGTAATACATTGACAAATATTCCCAAGGGAAATTATGCTCAACTCCCACATTTTGTCGATTCCAAATTGGTAAATCGGGCTGTTGGGCCAGCCAACTGTTCCCCTTTTCCAGGTTGATTTTGAGCCGAAACTTGGTTCCAAGCCCTTCCTATAATATACATTGAACAAGTATCTGTAAATGTTGTTTATGAAACTTTTGTCCTCTGAGGGTTGTTTTGAAGAACTTGTGCCCTAAGAATGATATTATCCCTTTATTCAATATTCAACTCCAAATTGGTAGATCGGGGTGTTGGGCAGCCAACTGTTCTCCTTTTTCAGGTTGATCATGATCCGAAACTTCCTTCCAAGCCCATGCTACAAAATATAAATGGGGCCTGATGGAATATATTTCCATGCCAATATGACCCGAGAAGATCGAATCGGTTTCTGGGCCCAAGAACTCTAGTAGTTTTACTTATTGTTTCTGTTTAAGTTAACCATGCATGCATATGTGTTGTATATTAGTCATATTATCTAGTAAATTTTGTCCGGTAAATGATAATTTTCTAAAGAATAAAGGAATACATATAAAGGAAAAGAGCTCCCCGGCACCCCAACCCTTGAGACGCATACAAGGTTCGAGGGAAAGCGAAAGAAACGAGGAAAACAAATATGCACGATCCTAAACACAACAGCCCAATCCATGAGTAAGACAACCCAGCAAAAAGAGATGAAAGGCCAAAATAAAAAACAACAGGTGCCCAACAACAAGGGGACGCAGAAGGCACCAGACCCCAGCAGAAAAACAACCAGCAACCAACAAAAAGACAACAACTGCCAAGAAGACATCAGCAAAACAAAAACCTACAGGAGCACCCAGGCCAGCCAACAACACCGACAAAGCGAAAACATAAAATTATAATTGAAATAACTTCAAATTTCTTAATGAATTAAACTATATATGAAATAAACTTATTGATTGATAGATAATAATAATAAGTTAATAAAGGTGTTGCTTTCATAATTTAAGATCATGAGGTTATATCGCAATTACAAAGATATTCGTAGATATGCATGAGATAATCTATAGTTATTAAGAGATAATCTATAATTATTTATATAGCTTCTAATAAGTTAAGTGGAATGAGTTAATGAAATTCACAAGACAACTTTACACAAATGATCGACTTGATGTTCCTTTTAAAAACCGACTATAATTCTAAACTTTGTATATCATTGCAATTCGAATTCACTCTTTTTGTTATTCTTTTAATGAGAACATATTGCATCAAGGATCCAAGATCACGCTATAGGTTTTGTCCAAAATTTAGTAGCATAAAATGGAATTAGTTCAAATCTTAGCTTTACTTTCAATTAGTTCTTAATTATAGTTCATGCCTAACTGATATCATGCAGCCATGCATTAATTAATGCGTGATAGTCGTTGGAATTTAATTGTAAAACAATACCTAACATTACATTATTAGATAACACTCGCTACTATTATTATACAATAAGATATGTACAAGCTAATACATATGGTCTTGATTCTACATCTAGAAACACTTATTAAACATAAAGCAATATCATACAAGGCATGGTTATTCAAACCTCACAAACATATATTTAATGTATGTAAAACTATATTATAACATAATATTTATGAGTTTTAGCCACTACCTTCCGATCCAGTGCCACTGCAACCATCATGATTAAAATTTGGCCTAGGGCAATAGTGATGGCCATTCACATCATCGGGCGAATACTCAACTTTCACATTATTCCCATCCTCGATTAGTCCTCGGTTGTACCGTACTGCTTGCCGGTCACCAGCATCCAATAAAACCCTTCTGTTTGCAGCCAAGCAAGAGCTCATTGTCATGAGGATTAGAGCAACCACTAGAACCCTCATTCTTGCACTGATTTGATTATCTTTTCACACTGTGTTATTTGAAAAACACACAAAATTCAAGTTTAATACAAATGAAATATAAGAGACTACAAAATATGTGTACTTTACATAATCAAAAGAACTAATATTTACTTACCCAGATAGAGATTAGAGTTTTTGTATAATTCGTGGGAGAGGATGAAAAAGAGTGTGGCATTTATATAGGAATGTTCTAGGGTTAGTGTTATAATTATATAAATCAATTAATATTTGGTGATGGGGTTTCCACCAAATGAGGCAACATGAAGTGGGAGGACCCAATAATCCAATTATATTTGTTTTTAAAACAATTAAAATGATTGAGTTGAGAAAAAAAAAAAAACTTTTTTTCCATATTAGCACTATATTTAAATAGAACATCTCCACGTTAGCTGATAAACCAAAAGTCAATGACGCACAATAGAGAAGTTGCTCTGTTGCATTGTGATGTCAAAGCATGGTTACCAAAAAAATTATCCAAAAATTAAGTACTTAACAACGCAACACTTGTGAAGTGGTTTAATTTAATTTAGACATTTGGATATATATCCTTTGGATTATTGATTAAGCACTTGTTTCTAATTTCTAATCAAATGTTTAACTTCTGATATAACATTGACATGTGCGAAAAACATATATAAATGGGATGATGTTTCGCACATGTCAATGATGAATACATTTGGCTAGGTCAATTGCCTTTAACATCTCCCCGGCCGAGACATGGTGCCTTTTATTTTAATTTTTTTCTCTAAGCATAACTAAAAAGCGAAAGATCTTACTATTTCGTTATACAACAACTGCTTTATGTACTGCGTCTCTCACATAAAATAATAGCCACTTACTATTTATGTCACTCTCTTTAATCAGTTCTTGAACTAAAACTTGGGAGAAGAAACGAAAAAGTAAAGTGAAAAAGGAAAGTTAAAGAAGCTCACGTGAATTGTATTAATATTCAGCTTAAAAAAAAACTGTACAGTAGGTAGCACTTTTATAGTGCTCTGTTAACAAAAGCATTGAAATGTAACAACTTAGTAAACTGAAACTAACTGCTGTAACAAATTGCTAACAACTTAGTAAACTGAATCTAACTGCTGTAACAAATTGCTAACAGCTGAACAATCCTAACTGTAGCAGATTAATAACTAAACATATTTTCCTTTTTCATTAACACTTTGCAATCCAAAAACTTGTGGGATAACTCAAGTCAGCCAAAGCAGCCATAAGTCAAGCAACAGCATGTTCAAAGATATGAATCATGTCACTGAAAAGAATTCCTTTAAATTTGAACAATTGCTTTCGAATTAAAATATTTTGTCAAACTCAAATCATATGGGATACAAAAATGTTTAATCATTTAATAATACTTTTTAGAATATCATACCTGAAATGGACGCTAATTATTGTTCCTACTCATGGGACATTTTCAATTGATAAAATGAAGCTTGAGAAATTGAAAGCCGCAAATAAACTTCCATCAATCTTTCACATGCTTCTTTTCTTTTTATTAGAAACACAAAAATAAATATTAATTTGTTGTTGTATTACACAACTTAATTAATTAATGAAGAGAAACTTTCTGTGTTCCCACTACTGTACTGTTAGTGAATAAAATTTAATTAATTCAATCTCTAGTAATTGAAAGAGGAAACCTTGACAAAAATGATAGGTTCTAATCATATATCTAGGTCGTTGGTTTCATCACTTAAACCAGTGGAGGGAAAATGCATGCCAACTAACTTCCAAATAACTTACCTTAATTCACCTAAGTAATTATGAATATTGATTATTTGTTGGCCTCTATCGCAATTATTATAGATGCACCTACCAATAGAAAAGGAAGTAATTGGTTTACATTACATGATCTGTGTTTAGTCTATGAATTGATTGATGCCGATTAAAATGCTTTCTCTATACACATGTTTCGCACTTCTACTTCTAATCGCATCTCTATAGATATATATTATGCAAAACGAAATCATAGCGAAAGCTTAATCCTACCTCGTACTAACAACCAACATAGTTTCGCAACTCTTAATTTCTTTTATATTTATTCAAAATACACTTCACTTTCTCAGTCGATGTTCATCGAGTTACAAAGAGTCAGGGTAAGAGAGTTTTTGTAAAGTGGAGGCCAGTGGATCGAATGGTGGTGACCAATTAAATATTTGCCGTCATAATCAACCTGAAATCATCTAAGAACATGAAACCCTATCTTTGCGGTGGCCGACATCGACGAGAAATCATGTACCGAAGTGAGAGAGTTTTTTTAGAGAGGAGATTGGAGGTTCAAATGGTAGTGACGGAAAGAATTTTTGCAGCCAAAATCGACTTTGGGAAGTAATGAATATTAAGTTTGGGTGGGAAAGTGGTATTTTGAATTTTTTTGGGTGAGAAAGTGTCATTTAGGAAAACCTTGGGTGGGAAAAAGTCATTTACTCATCTTATTAATATAATTATATCCTTTATGCCATATAGGGATTTTGCAATTATAGACTATCTTCGATCTTATTTATTTCTAATTAAGGTTCTTGAGGATCCTAAGACATACCACTTAAAGTATTAGATGATGAATTAGTATTATGCTTCACTTGTTATT